CCTTCTAGGTGTTATATATCTTTTACTTTACACGGGGGCTATTACCATGCCATGAAGCAAACTCCATTTCTTCAGATGATCGTTGTGTAAATACTGTTTCCTTGTCATGCATATCATCTTGGGAAGTAGGATACTTGGAGGACATGCTGTCAGGAGGATATTCTGCAGAATATTCTGTCTTCAGCCTCAAACCATGCTGTAACTCCCCTTCTCATTAAAATCCTGGCTGTAGGCTTTCTAGGGCCTAGGAATCAAACTGAGAGAGAGTTATAGAATTAGGTTTAGCAGTCCAGCAGGAATCAAATCCACCAAAGAAAGAATGGAAAAAAAAGTAATAAAGTATGGACTGTATCTGATTATCAGCCTATAAACCTTAGCATGCAGTGTTTAAACACAGAGGGCCACATTTTCAGAAAGCCTGCAGCTATTGTGTAAAAATGGGGTTGAGCCAAAATCCCAGATTGGAAACCCCGTGAAGATCACGAAGTCCAGATCGGCATCTGAACTTCATGGCTCAGGTCCATCTCAAACACTGCAAGTGCAGAAAAGAGATTTGAATGCTCACAATAGCAAATAATGCAAAAAGAGGGATGTGCATATATAAATACTCTTTGGATGTTAAAGAAGCAAGTTGTGGCTATGTAAACCGTTGCCTCTTTCGCCATTAAGGTTTTTAGAACTTGTTTGAAAATTTGTCACAAAGCAGTGTGAAGGATATATCAATGATATTGCTCACTATGGCTTGAATTCCAATTACCATTGTGCTCTTTCACTCTACCCAGATAATTTCTCTTTTGAACAGTAGTATTTCTCTTTGCTCCAATTTGCCTTAGCAGCAGTGTAGGGCAGTAGCAGCTGATATCAGGAGTCTTGATTTGTGTTATAGTTCACCTTTTCAGAGGACAGATGGCTTATTACAGGCTTAAGCAGTGCTACATATTTTAATCTGGACTGTAATGAATAAATTCCAATAAATTATCAGTTAAGTCCAGGTCCAAAAAGTGTGTGGGGTTGGCTTTAGTAAACATTCTGCTCGCTTATTTTTTCTCTGCAGCTGCTCTGATGTGAATGATACCAGCGCTGCCTTATCAGCATTGCTGTGGCTGAAAAATGGGCACTGTATTTGCGCTGTATCTGGGTGAGGAATAGTTTAGTTTAAAGCAAAAATAAACTACACGCAATAATGAATTTAGTGCCAAAGATGACAAGTGATTTAGACGGTTCTAGCACAAGAGACATGTTGACATGACTTTCGCCTCAAATTGCTCTTTGGTATAATGTTACAAAGGGTGTTAATATTCTGAAAATCTTTTTTTTATTAATCAGCATATAATTGCCAGCAACAGCTTTAAAGGTGTTTTGTATACATCTTGAAGTGAGAAATGAGCATGTATCTTTGGGAAAGTATCTTTTTACTTTAATATGATAAGAGTGTTTATAAACTCCAGCAACATGGGACGTAGGTGGGTCCCTTTACCAAAAAGAAGCAGTATATTGTTCGAGCTATGCAAAAGCAAGTGTGAGTGCCAGTTAAAACAAGCTGTCTGTGAGCTCTGTCATAATATCTTTTGATGCAAACAATACTCTGACTCACACCCTGTGTCAGTCACTTGGGTTTCTTGGGGTTTTAAGTCTGAACGAGATTTAGCCCATGAGGTGTTATCTGAGACATCTTCATTGCAAAATGAAATGCTGACATTCCAGAATATGACCATACCATGGGTTCTGTGCATGCCCAAGGAACAGGTCACCAATTATCAACTTAATTGCCATGGAGCACTGTAGAACACGCTTATATTTCTGGTATGCTGGTTGATGTTAAAAGCTGAGATAGTTCTATTAGTTGTTTGAATGGCATGTTCATCCTGGCCTTTTATTGCCAACTTCATTGCAAGAATTTATGGGCTATTTCAGTTACAAAACTCCCCAAATTCTTGAAAGCAACTCTTTTCCTGCTTACATGTGCACAAAAGTGTTTTTCCATAAAACTAAAAAATAATGCTTGACCTTGTTTAACTTGATTTAACCTGATCATGTCAATGGGGAGTTGGTCTCCTTGGGGGGTTTCAAAACCTGGCTAGACAAAGCTTTGGCGGGGATGATCTAGTTGGGGCTGGTCCTGCTTTGAGCAGGGGGTTGGACTAGATGACCTTCTGAGGTCCCCTCCAACCCTAACTTCCTATGATCCTACCCCCACATTTTGTTACAATATCTAAAATAAATTGTACAGACTTGTTTAGTTTGTTGTATTGTTATGTTTACCTGTGTAGCCACTTGCCTAATGACGACTTCCCCCCACCGCTCCATTCCCATCCTCATCCTGCTCCCAAATCTTGGCTGTTAATTTGACAGTGCTAAATTGTAGCTTGGGAAAAAGCCCACATAGCTGAGAGGGGAGGAATCAAACGCTGCACTCCTTAAATCCTATGCAGGCTACCCAGGCAGAAGGTAAACGGAGGGAAGCTTGATTCCTAGTTCTGTCCTCCCAATTTACTGGCCATCACTGTTGGTCTTAGGGGCCATGATGCAGGGAAATAATTGTGTCTCTAAGAGGCGCCTATGAATTGCAACTCCTCACAGGATTGTGCCTGGCCTGGTGCAATTTATGAACCACTCCATTTCCCATGGCAGTACCTCAACGCACAGCCTAGCCCTTGGTTATTAAGGATAATGTGCCTATCCCATCAGACAGCTTTCTTATAAGTGAAAAGTAAATATCTAATTCTCTCTTCAGTCTAATTTTCTTTGTATAATATTAATCCTTGAAGCATTTTGTAAAGTTTGTGCTGCTGTCCACAGATGTTTGTGGATTTTTTTTACCCAGTAGGGATAAAATCATTCTCAAAATACAAATCTTTGACTGCAATAAGTGGTCTAGGTCTTAGTTTCTATAGAGACATTTATTTCCAAGCTACCTCAAATAAGTCCAGACTAATATATATTCTAGATTTTCCTGTCCATTTAATGCCAGTAGAGCTTCATCTTGTTCAGCTGCAAATAGGCTGCTGCTATGCTATACCACTAAAGAAAAAAAACCTGATTAAATAGGTTGATTGTATTGCCAGAATTACCAATGTTGTCCCCACTGAATAAATGTAGGGAGAGACAGCCCAGCTTAGTGAATCCATTCATATGTAAGTAACAGATTTATTTCCAGCCCATGTAAATAAAATATCCAGAATGTATTATCCATCTGTTACATGGTTTGTGGGCTATGTAAAAAAAAATATTTTCTCTGTTACTAGCAGGTAAGTGCTGAAGTGATGGAAACCACCAGTGTTCATCACTGATCAAAACATATCCACGGCAAATTGCTCCCACTTTTTCCTTTGTCCTCTGTCTCTTTTTTCTTCTTCCATGTGTCGTCTTTGTTTCATTTTTTTAATTCCTCCTCTTAATTTATTTCCCTTTTGTGTGCTTTTTGCTTTCCATCTCTCTTTCATTCCATCTTTCTCTTGCTGCCCTCTCAGTTTTCTCATTTACTATAGTGGCTTGTTCTTTAAAGTGAGATGTCAATGGGTTGGATCTCTTTTGATGAAGCATCACCACAGGTATTCCTGTGGCACTCATCTATACCAGAAATAAAGCTTGGTCATAGTCATAGAGGTATAGAGAAATAGGGCTAGAACAGGCTTCCAGAGGTCATCTAGTCCAGCCCCTTGCCTGAGGCAGGATCATCCCTATCCAAACCATCCTATACAATCCGTAATCTAAACTCTCTATAAGATTACCATTAACTGTGATATGACACAGATCTAACTGTAACCTGCCACAAGTAGGGGAACCACTTCACCAAGTAGGGGAACCATAGCAGCCAATGTCCTGCTTCTAGGAAAAGTTGTCAATATAAGCTTAAAGGATCCCAGGGAAGAAGCCCACTTTCTCCCCCCAACCCCTCCCCTTACAGAGGAAGGCAAAAAGCCCCCTACAGTCCATACCAATCTAACCATGGGGGGAAATTCCTTTCTGACCCCAAATATGGTGAACAATCTGACCCTGATTGCAGGTACAAGACCCTCTAGCCAGGAACCTAGCAGGAAAATCAATATACCCCAGTTAAAGGCTGAGCGGTAGCCAACACCCAGTGCCTCTGGGGAGGCTTAAAAATACCGTGATATATGTAGCAGGGGAAAAAAACAGTGGGGAGCAACCAGTAAAGCCCAGAAACCTGGGAAATACCCATTGTAGAAAATAGACTTAGCTGAACCAAAATCATCCCTGACCAGTGGCTGTCCAACGTCTTCTTGAACACCTTCAGTGATGGAGAGTCCATACCTTCCCTAGGCAGTCTATTCCATTGCCTCACTATTTGAAAAGTGAAAACATTTTTCCAGTTATGTAATCTAAATTTATTTTGCTGAAACTTCAAGCCAATGGTCTTTGTCCTTCTCTGCAGCAAGAGAGAAAAGGTGATTTCCCTCTGTATGGCAGCCCTTCAGGTATTTGAAGACTGCTGTTGTGGCCCCCTTTTAAGCACCTTTTCTGCAAACTGAATTGCCTGGCTCCTTCAGCCTCTCCTCATATGACTCACCTTCCCTATGGTCATGTCTGTATGAGCTGCTCCTCTGGACTATAATATAGGTATAGGTTGATAAAAGAATTGTGTGGGGAGGGGGAAGAAAAGCAGCTTCCCCTGCTATTTTACCTGCAGGTGTAGGGTGCAGTAAGTCAGGACCTCACTACCATTTTTGTCTCTGTTTCCCACTCTCCATCATTAGGTTAGCCAAAGGCTTGTACACAGGTTGTCTAACAGTAACCTACAGACAGCCCCATTCAGTGCTTCTTCTCTCACTTAAGACCACTGAAAATCAAAAGCAAATCTCTTGACATTAGTAGCTGAATTAGCATCCAAGCTGCTGTAAACAACATCAGAATTTGGCTCGTTTATTCTAAAAGCTTGTGTAATGTCTGGTTTATGAATCTATTGACTTCTTTAACCTTGGAGGAGCTGAGATGAAACACACATGCCAAACATGAATTTCTTTCCTTGACTTTTCCAGGACGAATTTTGGACTTGAAAACTGGAACGGTAAAGAAGGAGGGTCAGCAGTCTTCAATGAGAATGTGCATGGGGTCGAGGCGTTCTTTCATTTGCAGGATGAGGTATGAGGTTCTCTGTATTGCTGTAGTATTTTTTGCCCTTTCTCTCAGCTCTACATTTTGGCCAAGTGTGCCACAGGTATGAACTTTTTAAAAATGTGGAAAGTACTAAGAAAATACTCTGATTAAACATTTTCAGAATACTTGTTTAACTAGTGTTAAACTTGCATTTGCCTCTGATTAGTAAGACAGTCAATAACTCATATCCGTATTGCAGTTGTGCAGTATGGCACAATGGTAAAAATAATTGCCTAGAGAATTTCGGGCCATCTTAACCACTGGAATGTAAGCTATTGTCTCTTTGAGTTTGATTATTTAAATCAACATTCTGGAACAAATTCATCAAAAGTGGGATGGCAGTGTGTGTGTGTGTGTGTGTGTGTGTGTGTGTGTGTGTGTGTGTGTGTGTGTGTGTGTGTGTGTGTGTGTCCCTCTCTCCCCCCAACGCATTAAAAATGTGTTGAAGATGAGCAAAAATTGAATTACAGACTTAGTCAGCAATGCAAAAATTAACCAACTGTGGTAAGAATTAAACAGATGTCAGCTGGCTAATTCTACAAAAATGAGTAATTGGGAGAGGGTTTTATTTTGCAATGCTGTCTGACATGCTCAGAGTAAGTCCATTCATCTGACTTTAATGAAAAAAAAATACACAGGCTTATCTGCAGCCTGTTCCAGGCATATAACCTGAGGAAGAGATGATAAAAAATGTTTTAAGAGACACATGGAAACTAAAATGTTGGAAGGTAAAATCAACCCAAAGATAAGCCTGCTTATGTAATTGGTATTTGCATAATGTTTCGAACATGGCTTGCTAATTCAGCATAGTTATTAAATCCAAAGGCAGGTGTTTGAGGTTCAACCAGACAGGGAGCAAAACTTCTTGAGATGACTGACTGGAAAGTGTTATTATAGAAATTCAGAGCCCTCATATTACAAATATAATGGTTCCTTGCTTTCCTGATAGGGCCAGCCATAATAAGGCCTGCTTGTGTCGACTAGATGACCAAAAGGCATAGAGAACCCCTTTCCGCTTCCTCCCATGCTCTGTGAAGGAGGTAATTTGGCCACTGCAGGGACACGCTAGGTCTACTGGTAGCTGAATTCAAACAAGGGATGAGTATCAAACTAGAAGTAGAGGACTAAGATAGGAGACAGTTCAGCAAGGAGGGAGGGCATGCTTTACTATTCCTATGACTATGACAGTTTAAGATATGAATCCCCCCAGTATCCTAAAAACTCCCTCTCTTAGTACTCTCTACTGCTCAGAGAGATAATTTAGCCCTTTAGTTGTAGGATCTAGTAACAGGAGTACTGTATTTACCTGAATCCAAGATGACTGTGAATTTAAGACAACCCCTTAATAATTAAATTCTGCACATGGAAAACTTATACATTTTGTTATGATTTCCATATATAGAATCTAACTGTTGGAGGGTCATCTTAAATTTTTGTCCCCCTTTTCTACCCCCTGTTTCCCCACACTGCTACAGTGGGAAAGGCAGAGGTAATGGGGTAAGTTCAAGCAGCTTGCCCCCTGCCACCTGCTCCCCTGCAGCTGGAGCTGCAGCAGCTGCCTGCCTTTTCCACCACCTCACACTCAATTCTATGATGAGGGGCTCCCCACCCCTTGTTAATGGTGAAAAAGCCCTTGTCTTGGAATTGAGTAAATGCAGTAATGTCTGTGCTGGAAATGGAGTCCAGTAACATATGTAAGAGGACATGCATAACTCTTAGAATGGTTCCTTCTACCAGTAATGTATAACCCTGTCTGATTACTGAATTCAGGCAAATTACGTTTTAGTAAAACAATTCAGTTTGAGCTTCATTATTTAGAATGCACCTCTTTGTCCTCTAACCACGATTACTGATCATGTACTGAGGTCTTTGAGCAGACAGAGCCAGACCTAATATCTAGTTTACAATTGTTCCCCAGCTTTTAAAAACAGCCATCCAAATCCCAGTTTTTTTACTAACGCCCTGATCCTGCAAACACTAATGCATGTGAGTAACTTTACACACGTGAGTAGTCCCATTGTATTTCTAATTCTAAACCATTTTCATTGTTCCTTTTCCCTTTTATTTTCTGGCAGTGACTGGTAAAAGTCTTTGTGGGGGCAGAGGGAGATGTTCAGACCCACATCTCAACCAGTCCTCAAATAATGTGAATTTCCCATGTGATTCCTTCTTTTGTAGTCTGAACGTTCTCTTTTCCAATGAAAATACTCTGTTTTCTCCTTCAAAACCATTTACGTGGCTTCAAAGGGACACTAATAGTTAGATATAGAGTTATGCAGTTAAATGTGCATTTGGATATGCATATAAATATAAGCAGCTGTGAAAATAATTTATAAGCAAGAAGCCGGTTAATATTATTAACAGGCAGTCAGTACGTAGCAGAACCTTTGTTTCATAAAAGTCTCTTGGAATATATGTAACAGTCAAATATTTAGTACAGTAATATTGTGTGCCAGTATGTATGCCAGCATACATTTCTGTGAGAGTACAATGATAGTACATAAGTAAGTAGTATATGAATTGTATGTATTTGAAGTGGATATTTTATATGCCACACTATATCACAGGTGGAGCAGAAGTAGATTGTACAGGTGTACATCAAGAGACTAGTGTCTATTGCACAAGTAATTGGTGAATGCACAAGTTTAGATGAATATGGTTTCTCTGTGTCAATAGGTCCCCTGGAAGCTGGAATTTATTTTGTGTGGGTTTATTATTAGAGGTCCTAAAGCATGTATTTTGTTTAGCTTTTGTAGTTGGTTTTTAATGTGTTGTGGTCTGTTACAGTCTATCTGTGCTTGAAACGAGTGCTGGAATTCTCTGCTTCAGGCTCTGTCTTTTGTTCTTGTGTTTCTTATCCTTGTATTTTTTTAGCTTCCTCTTTATTTTGGGGCATTCTTTTGTAAGCCAGCAGATTTTCTCTGTATTTCTTTAAATCTTGAAATGGTCTGGGGCATTAAACAGGAAAATTAAAAGGGAAGTTATAGTAACTGTGACTTCTAAGAAAATACTTCCCCCCCCAAAAAAAACTTCCAATCAAAAGCAAATATACAGTACTACTTGGCTACGTTTTAATAAAGGTTTCTAAGTGCATTTTCCCCAAGCATTCCTATTGCAGTACCTTTTTTTGAATCCTTTAAAATGCCAATTTGCTTTTAGGTGTGGAAATGCTCCTTTGGATCACTTACCTCTGAACAGAATCACCACCATGCGGAAAAGATACAGGTGAGTCCATTTCACTTGACACTACAATCTAACACTCAATCAATGAACTCTCCCAGTTATTCATTTCACTAAAGCTAAATCTTTTAAGTGTCACATGGCTAGAGCTTATGGCTCACAAGTACTGTGAGCTTATGCTAGTGAGGAGTGAGCACAGGGCTGGAAATGCTAGTCCTAGCAATGTCACCGATGTATTCAAGGTCTCGTATGTGTCAGCAAATGTTTTTTCCTTGATTCACTTCATTCATACAATAATATTTACTTAACAGTCTCACAGATATGTCTCATGATTAGATAAGGCATATTTTTACAAAAAAAAATGGTAGATTTGTGTAAAATAACCAGTACTAATATAACAGTGTCAAGTTCTGTTGGAGGTCAGACATATTACAGTTGTTGTTTCTGGTCCATGTAGGAATGGGCTAGGCCCAGTAAAAGAGGGAGAAGCACAGTATGCTGTCGTCCATTGCACTGGATACATCAAGGCCTGGCCACCAGCAGGTAAAAAATCCTTTAAAGGCAGCGTGCTGGGGACTGACTGCAATACAACTTAATGTCTTACCTCTAGAATCTGTTGGCCCCCTTTTTAGTTAGAAACTTGGGTCCAGATCCAAAAAGCTACTTAGATGCTTAGATTCCTAATGAAATCTCTGAGAGTTTGGGTGCCTAAATGCCTTTTCAGGTCTGGCCCTTTAGGCTGGGATTTTCAGAGGAAATGAAGGGAATTTGGAGCCCAGGTTCCATGGCAGTTAAGTGTCTGGTTCCTTAAGCTCATTTGAAAATCCCAGTTTTAGGATGATGATGATGATCTTAAATACACAGTGACCCATATTTAAATTTACTTAGCAACTTCTATTTGCTACGTATGTTCAGTTGTGACAAAACTGCCTGGTCCATGAGAAGCCTGTGGAGATTTAAACTTGATGCTTTAGATGAAGGTGAAAAGTAGTTATTTTATGCCTGATTGTATGTACTACCCATTGTTTGTAGTTGATACACTTCTGCATGAATTTGACATTAATTTTCTTAAGTTGTTGTTAAAAAGTTCAGAGAAGCTGATTTTGATTGTTGAACTAAATCAAGTTTAAAACATGGAGCAGTCATTTGCATCCCATTTAAACTAGTTAGTCCCCATCCATCTTCTTTTGAAGAACAGTATTAGCATTTTCATTGCAATCTAGAAGTTGGTCATTATTGTTATGCGTCCATTGTCTCACTGGTATTCTACTTTTGCTTTCCACATAAGACTTGCATAAAGGTCATTGACAATTGCAAATATTAACTGAAGAGGCATTGCATGTGCAAAATGACACATTAGATATGAGTATAAAAGTTGAGGCTCAAATCTGAAAGTTTTTGGAGCCTAAATAAAAATGACCTGATTTTTCAGAGATTATCACTTAAGCCAGTGCAAGCAGCAGGCATTCCACATCTTTGAAAACAACTCACAAAAGCTTTTATGTTTAGACTAGCGAATTGCCAGTCCAGAATGTTTGGGGCGGGGTGGGGGAGTGGAGCACCGCCACCCACCACCCAGCGCCACTGCTGCCTCCGGGTTGGAGGGGTGGGGTGGGGAGCGGCACTTGTACATGGCAGCCACTGCTGCCACTGACCACAGCCTGCCCCCCACCCCATGTCTGGCCCTGGGCCCCCAGCTTCACAGGCAGGATTCACTATCTTCATGGGTCAGATCCAACCCATGGGGATGTAGATTGCTGACCTCTGGCATATCAAGATCTGTCTTACAACCTGCTAGGTCCTGTTGTTCCACAACTTCACTCATGTGATAGTTAGAAAATTGCACATCATCCTTCTGAGGTAAGTACTTTATGACCCCATTTTACAGATGGGAAGAATGA